GCAAGAACTGCAGAAAAACAGCATGACTCACCGTGATCTAGTACTGGGTGATATCATCTACACCGGTAGCGGTTCAAACAGCGGCACTCATTTTGGGTTTTAACTGTACTAAACTATAACAAGAAAACAAAACAAAAAAAAGGATGACTAAATACTAAAAACTGAAACTAAACATAAATTAAACTAAAACTATGACTCTTCAGAAAATAAAAATGCAACTAAAGCTATCAATGTACCCATAATAATAACCATGACAAAACTGAAATCAAAAACCAAAAATAAAAACTAAATAAAAATAAAAACATATAAAAATTTCAAAACTACAATAACCCCGGTCCACAAAAGCAGTGTTTTCCAAAATTTGTAACATCAATCATACACTGTGCAATTCTAGCCTGTTTTTAGGCCCGATTTGGCTGTAGCTCACTAAATTTCATGACTGAGTCAAGTTTCAGCTTCGTTTGCTGTCGTTTGACATGTAGTATGAGGACCAAGCAATGTCCGAATAACTGCCTAAGAAGCTTTGACTGAGCAGTTGGATGGTTGAAATTCTGACAACAGAAATTTTGCAGTTTGATGAGATCTCACACACTGATTTCTCAAAGTTACACTAAATACCACACACGATCACACCCAGCATGTCTACACATGTGAATACACAAACGGAGGCACAAAAGTCAACAGCAATGTCACACCCACTAAACCTAGAAATTACCAAATGAGTCTAATCAGGTGTGTTTGAGCAGGTAATACAACAAACTGTGCTGGACACTGGCCCTACAGGACTGGAGTTGTGCACCCCTGGTCTATGCCAACCCTGCTCTGCTTGCTGGAATGGAAGTGCGAGGTATAAATGTTGATTTTGTTTATTGTCTCTGTAAAACAGGCTGCAGACAAGCTGTACTGTTGTACCCACATACATCACCTCCTGGCTTTAGCTTCAGTGCAGTGTGGCACAAATTAACAAAGCTGCTATAGCACAGTTTCTCAATGGCTGAATTTCAAACATATAACTCTTCTATATTGTGTGCTATATAGGGGTGTCAAGATCATGACATTTTAGCTGATGATTAATTGTCATAAGTATTTGTGGTTAATGATTTAATTGTCTTGCCTTTTTCATTGTTTGCAACTACTGAAATCCAAGCCTAAAGTGGCCAAATCGGCTGATAAGCCACCTTACTTGATAATTATGATTATTTAGTAGGTAATACTGGATGTACTGCACACATGCTCACAGAAATGGCTACAGTTACACAGAACTATGTGTAGAGTTACACAACATTACATGTTCTTCACAAGATTGCCAGTATAAGCAAAAGCCCTCATTCTGCTAGCATGCATTCTGACACACAGAAACCCAGTCGCCAAGTGCATTTCAGAGTTCTGCTTACTTAATAAATGAAAACAGCTACAGACATGCGGACCTTAACACAGTGACATCAGCGTGTTTGAAAAGCTGCATTTTGCCCGTCCACATGAAAGCACTGAAAACAGAGTTTTTAAAAATCACCACCCTGGAAAGCATTTTCAAAAATCATAAACACACTTGAAAATGGAAATTCCATTTAAACGGACACATGTACTACTTATATAAACCCAAGTACTTCTGTGGGGCAACAAACGTTTGTTCATAAAGTTAAATGCTAACACACAGTTGCCAGCTATGCACACTGGACATGCTAGAGATTGTGATTTGGCAGAGCTTTAAGGCGACAGTATCGGATTTAACTCCAGATGCGATTCAATTAAGCTTCCAACTGCTCTGAATTGCTTGCTAGCAAGTGAGTCCTCAGGCGCATCCATTACTGAGAATAACAAGAGAATGCTGGCTAGCTAGCTGTCCAGAACCATAAGAAAATTATTCAGAAAGCACCAGGTGATAAAGCTGGCTTAGCTGAATTTAATGCAAGCTCCAGTATAATGCGGTTTCAAGCAACTTAAAAACCTTCATCTCTCCCTGTTCACTGACTAGAGTTCACCAAAAAGTTTTCATTTTTAAGACAATGATTAAAAAAATGTTTTTCCTCCACTTTCCTGCTCACTGCTGTTCATAGAGAGCAAGCAAGTTGTTCAGGGCAGGACCTCTATTTAGCATTTTAATCAAATTGGCTATAAAAATATTCCTCAGTGATGGTTTTTCCTTTCCTTGTAGTATTATGTCTTAAAAAGTACAATACCAATAATAATAAATGCAACAACAAGAACAAAAAGATTTTCCCATTCAGTGGTCAAAGTAAAACAAGTCAAGCGTTTTGCATTCTTATAGAATATTTGAATATTCAAGATAATAATATCTGACAGTTCAATACTATATGCAAAGATTAAAAAATGTTTAGTCGTTTCAGATCAACTACAATGTACATCATTTGCTGGGTGTTACTGATTGTTTTGAAAGAACTGTTCAAAATACATCAAAAATAATAAACATTACTTTCTTTCCTGAAAACCTGGGTTCTAGAGGTTTAATGATACATAAGCTTCGGAATATGATATGTCTTGTGAAACATCACAGAGAAACAGAGAGCTGACAAAGAACAGGAATGTTACAACAGATATAGTTTCAGGTTTGATAGGATTTTAAGTTGTGAGGTCAGGATTTGCAGATCTTAAATTATATACTCCACAGGTTGGTTTGGCTCACATAAATAAAGGTTCTTCAACAGAACTTTGTCAGTGACTACTGTGGCACCCTCAAACAAAACAAACCCCAAAAATCACAACCCCTAAAATTCATAAACAGCAGAAAAAAACAGTCCAGTCATCTAAGTGTGGGTGTGTCCACAGCGTAAGCCCCACCCTTTCAGCATCTTTAACGTGATAGGATGAAACCAAATGGCTGATTTTGTTAACTGATAGTGAGAAGAGAATTGAAATTGTTACACTCTTGGTGGTATCCGCTGGTGTAAATGTTTACAATGCCGTGTAAGGTCCTTTTGGTGTCATTTTATAAGAGGCAGAACAGAACAAAACAGTCCACAACCTCTGGTTTGTAAAACACTCTTAACATAGATGACCTGAAAGCACAGGTTTATTAAGTTTATTAATGCAAACCTCAATATCAATAAATAATGTGATACTACGATGTATTGGGGAATTACCATGATACTGAATTCTATCAACATCGCACAGCACTACAATGATTCCAGCAATTAATGCTAGCCCAGTGCACATGTGGAACAAGATGCAAGATGATTGACCAGGAGTGAGCGAGAGTGAAAAAGTAAGAGTGCAAAAGAGAGAGAGAGAGAGAGAGAGAGAGAGAGAGAGAGAGAGAGAGAGAGAGAGAGAGAAAGAGAAAGCGATATGCAGAGTTACAAAGTTGACTGGTTTCCCCTTAGGCACTGTCATGATCTGTCAAGTGAAAGACAGACTCAAACTACAGAGAAAAAAAAGTGTCCATCCACACTCTTTTATTACTCTTCACTTGCTGAGAGGGACTCATGTTGTGGCTTGACCTGCTCAGAGGGAGGTGAAATTGGTTTGCAAACAGGTTGGATCTACATAAATGAGGCTGAAAAGCAGTGGCCTACTTGGAGACCAGTGCGATGGAGACCCCTCACACAACTATTAAATACTGTGCATATTGAATCTCAATTAGTCAATACACAGGCTACAGTATTCTACAAACTCACCAAACCACCTATATATATAAATTATGTGTACAGCGTAGAAGACCAGTTTCCCAGACCCAGATTAACCTTAAATCAAAACTAAAAAAGATTTTCCAATAGCGATTCACCATTGGCATTGCAGTTAAGTACAAGACTAGGCAAAATCCATGTCTGGGAAACTGGCCCAGTCTGTGCTAATGAAATCCTCAGATATGGTAAATATGCACTGTCATTCAAGCAAACATTTGGCCTTAGGGCCAGTTTCCCAGATTCAGAATAAGCCTAAGTCTAGATTTAAAAGAATTTCCAAAGGTGATTCACCACTGGTGCTGCTTCCTTAGTCCAAGATTAGGCTTAATCTATGTCCACGAAACTCGCACGTAGGGTTAAAGTCTCTATAGTGCTCAAGTTTCTTGTAAATTCCACCGATTTTATTCGCTCCTCCTCATCAGTTGCTGCGAAATGTAGCTACAGTTATGTTATTGCTGCTGCCGCTGTTGTTGCGTCATCTTGTGCAAACTGAGTAAACCGAGCTGCATAAAAGCAACGTTAGCGACGACATGAGCCTGACTGAATTAAGTTAGAAAACTGAACTGATACAGCCCGAGCGGAGACCTGTAAGAATGCACATTCAAACTAAAATACAAAACAGGCTTAAGTCAATAAATGTGCCAGCCTTTTCCTATTTAAAGTAGAAACGTAGTTACAGCCAGTAAATAGCTAGTTCGCTAAGGCAAATAGCGTAAACACCGACCTACGTTTTACCCAGTAACTTGCACGGCTAGCTATCAGCTAGCCGGTTAAAGTACCAGCTATCTAGGCTACCATGCTACGAACTGTTAACAGTATATACATCTGGCTAGCCGGTGAAGGAATAACCTTACACTAAATTTGGCTGCTTCATGTCCACCTTGAGGAGGGTAAACAACCAGCTTAGCCTCCTACCAACTCCACCACTCTTTAACACTAAGCTTCTTGAAAGTGAAATAGCTCACCAGTGTCAGTAAGTGAACATTTTCGTTCAAGGAAACACGAGAAGCAGTAATCACTCTGTCTCTCGGAGCTTAAACTCACTGTTTTTTTTCCATACAAAAACACTGAACTGAAACAAGAGGCTGAAGTTTGCTTCCTATTCTCCAGCTTCTGATTCGAATGTTCCGTTCCACCTTAAATGGTGCAGCAGTTACAATCTGGTCCTTGCATTTAAGGTGGAGCGGAAAATTCCAATAAGAGGCTGGCGAAGAAGAAGCTAACTTCAGCTTCGCGAACTGAACCGCAGCTGCCGTTAACAAGTCTCTCAGGTCAAATGTACAATCCGTCTGGCCGTAACGCATCAGCTTTTCGCTAAAACGACCAGAGAATAATTCATCTCAGAACGACACTCACCTCGTTGACTGAGCGATCGGCCGGCTAACTCGTAATGTTTTCCCCTCGGTGTTATTCTGCCCGAGCTTCTCGCTGGATGGAGGTGCAGTGATGTCCCAGGAATAATGAGCGCAGGGCTAGCGGACAGACAGCCGTGCAGCCGAACTGGGTCAGTGCTCCAGTGTCAGTCCAGCACCAGCTCACAGGAGGGAGGACACGAACATCCACAGATGACTCGGCCGAGCTCTGACACAGCTCGAGCAGTGTTTTTCTCCTCTGTGTTTCTGCAGCGCCCAGGCTGTCCTCCACCATCAAATCTGGGGGTTCTCACTCTCCCGTTTCGCAGCCATCTTCTCTCAGGCACACACCCACACGCAGGGGACGTGCTGACGTCTTGAAGCGCGCTGCTCAGGACTCACTGAGCCGCAGGACGCACACTGCCGCCTAGCGGAGGAAAATAGAAACAGCACTCCGGCCCTGCAAACATTTAATGCCTCTAATACAGCGGTGCCACTGTGACTTCAGGTTTTCATTCCAACAGAGTAAGAGATCACATGATCAACTGTTTGAAAAATGATCAATGGATTACACAAGCTGAATCAGGTGTGCTCCTGCTTGTTTGGAATGACAACCTGCCACCACATCGGCCCTTTGTGGATAAGATTGAACACAGCTACCTATAGCATATTTTTAACCCATTCACAGTGAAAAAGAATAGCTGGTCATTCAAAGACAAAACAGTATCCAAATAAAGCTTCTTATTTGAGATTTGTCACTCTTTCACCATTATCAGCATTGCACATAAAACCTCAGAAGGCATGTAGGTTCAATGCTGTTTTTGCATAGCAAATAAAATGGCTATATCTGCAATGTAGACATTGTGACCCCTAATTCCTATCACCACCTTTGTAAATAAATCTGAGTCAGTTTCTCTACAATGCTCCATTTCACATTAAACTACTCCGAATTACATTTTTACATCTCAACCATTAAATTATGCAGTGGATGGTGAATAGGTGGAATTGCCCTCTAACACTTTTGTAAGAGCAGAAGGCGAAACACATTTTCTCTTTAAAGGCACTATACACTCACTGGCAACTTTATTAGGTACCCTGTAACTACATGCATTGTCCATTTTATCAGCCCCACTTACCACATAGGACTGTAGTCCATCTGTTTCTCTGCATACTTAGGCCTACCTTGTTGGTCCACCTTGTAGATCGCTCATCTGCTCGTCTGTTTGCGCTGGTCATCCTCTAGTCCTTCATCTGTGGTCAGTTTTTGACTAGATACTCTTGGTTGGATATATACATATATTTTACCCAAATAATACCTGCTCTGTGTTGGTCCTGTGGGGGTCCTGACTACTGATGAATAGAGTTAATGGGTGCTAAGAAATTATACGGAGGAACAGATGGACTACATAATTATCTCCATATAGATAGACTTGATCAAATGGACAATGAGTGTAGATTGTAAGTAGTTTGATATAAATTATTATTTTAAGTATGAAAAGGTCCATCTCCAAAGATTTGAGTGCTTCCATGGAGAAGCTCCCTTCTCCCACACCATTGCTTGTGGACAGTGCAGAAGGCAGTGAACCTTGGAACAGCATGTATCTGTAGAAATTTTCTAGGCACTTACTGTGTTGTCTAGTCTGACTTTCTCATCAGGACACAACCCTTGACTGTGAAATAAAAACACTGCTTTGGCTGATCTCACCTTGGTTATAACCAGGTGGAGTGGCAGCTTAATGGCACCTTCAAAAACCAAAAGAAATAAACAGACCAATAATAATAATAATAATAATAATAATAATAAAATCTCTGTTGTAAATGGCATTTCAGGCACAGAAAACATACACTACCATGTTCTTTTAGTGCTGGATTATTACAGACCCCCTTATATAGGAGGCAAGTATTCATAGTAGAAAAGTCTGATGACAGATTGGAGGGTTGGTGAGGCCATCTGTGCTGCTCTGATTGCCTCTCATGAGGGTTCTGTTCTTATTGGTATATGCTCTGAGTCAGTGTGAGGAATCAGCTCACCTGTGGAACCATTGGGGAACTGACGCTACGGCAACCAACATCGCCTGCGCTGCACAGGTGAGCCTGCTTGTTTTTATGTAGAGGGACTTATGAGGCTAAACAATGAGTATGTTTGGTCTCCTGCTAGAAGAAAACATACACATATACCATACTGACTGCTTTAGAATGATGAATTTGTGTACATGTATGAGAGAATGCTCTTAATGTCTTTTTTTAGGATCATGCTCCTCAATCAGATCTATCCGTACTGATTGGTATTGGTACTCTACTGTAAGCTAGAATGAATCGTTGGACTAAACTTCTTAACTGGCATCGCATGCACAAGGATGGCGAAGTGCAAGAAGAGAAAGCACAAGGTCAGGGAGAAGAGAAGAAGAAAGACGAGAAGGAAAAAATCAAGTAAGTGTTCTTGAGATGGCATCAAATTACATTTCACTTTTAAAAAGAGCATATAAAGCATCTGGCAATTCCAGGCATCCACTCCTCATTTTTAGGTTTTCCATGTGATTACTGACAAAATAGATCTTAAGATGTAATAAACATAGCAAATTAAGGAATGTTTTTATCTGTTTTAACACACACACACACATATATTTATGTAATATATATATATATATATATATATATATATATATATATATATATATATATATATATATATACATATAGCATATACATTGATATATACATATATCAAATGTACTCAGTCAGTCAAGATATGTTTGATGCCTGAGGTACACTGCAGCTACAAGGCTAATTTATCTACCAAGCAAAGGAAGCTTAAAAGCATCTATTAGCAGCATGCTCACTGAATGCATGCATGCAGATCACAGTATGTCATACAGTTTCAGAAACCACATAAGCAAATTTCAGACTTGGCAAGGATATAAACTTTATGAGATATTTTATGAAAAATATGCTTGTTATTTCATCTATTTGTTTTAGGGCTGGCCCAAACAGCATTTTACAGGCTTTGAAAGCAGCAACAACAATTACAATAAAATGTCTTTTTCAACCCAGGAGCATGGACACCACAGTATGTTTGTTACTGCAGTCCAAAATCTATCCAGTAGGTGACAACAGGCTGAAGCCCAATTGCTTGTGCATTGTGTGTTGTAATAGAAACTACGATGATAACCCTCTCATTAAAATAACTTTTATGAGTTTAACCTATTAGTTTTACTTAGCACCATCATGATTTTAGTTTTAGGTACTTGCTTTTTTTATTATTTTATTGAATTATTTTATTTGTCTAGTTCCCCATTTCTTAGTCATGCAAAACAGCAGTGAGGGCAACACGCAGACCTAGGTGAGATTGAGGAGCCTTTGGAGCTTGTCTGAACATGAGAAAGACCAACCTGGAAGCAGCACAGCTGAAACCCCGCTTGGTTGATCCAGACTGTCTTCCTGAACACAACAGTGAGCTCAAAGGACACGTTGCAAGGCAAAGGGACTGCTGGAACTGTTGTCCCATGCACCCCCAGAGAACACGGCTCTCAGTCTGTGGCCCAAACAAACTCTTCAGCTAACCTTACCCTTTCACCATACACCTCTGTCTGGGAGCACCATGAGACTCTGAGCACCCTGGTTAGCTTTGCTGAGACTACAGGTCCTCTGATAAGTCTCATTAAACATACATATTTGAGCTGATCCATCAAACTCGTAGTGTCTTTGTGGTGTACTAATTTCTTACAAAAAAATTTGCACTGAGCAAAAAAAAAGTGTTCCCACACATAATTATTCTTGTAGCTTCAGTGGTGGCATGGAAAGCTGTGGAGTTTTTACATTGACTTGACAAGTGTCTAGCATAAATTTACAACATATTCAATTAAACCAGCTAAAATTTCTTTATTTTAACTATATAAATGTTTCCTATTTTAGAGCTAACTGTTCCTTTTAAGGGCGTTTGCCGATGAAACGTGTTGTAGTTTAGGTTAACACTGTTGTTGCTTGAAAAAAAGAACACTAGAGCATCAAATACCATCATAATGAACAAATTCTCGAGTATTGAAATTATTTGGCCCAGCCCTTATTTAATTATCTATCTTACCAAAATGTCTATCTGGTTTCTAACTAACAGTTTTCTTTCTCTCTGTCTCTCTCTTGCTGTCTCTCTCTCAGTTGGAGAGAGTGGGTGATTGATCCATCTGGAGAGTTTTACTATGGCTGGTTGCAAGTCATGATCTTTCCTGTCATCTATAACTGGGTTATTATTATCCTGAGGTGGGAGGAAATTATTTGCAGATCAGTTTTTAAAGAGAAATCTTACTTAATATTTAATGCCTTGCAAGCTTTATTTGAAAGTGTAAACCAACCGACATGCAGATTTCTGTTAAAAATGTAAGCAAAAACAAACATGTCTGTAATTGTCTAAAACTCTTGTCATCTTTGTAAAGGGCCTGTTTTTATGAGGTTGCGCAGACATATCTGGCAGTTTGGCTCACCTTAGACTACGTCTCTGACCTGGTCTACATAGCTGACATTGTTATCAAAGTCCATACTGGTAAGTGCAACTGTGTCAAAAAAATGAAAGTGTTATGAAATATTATCACAAGGTTTATGTAGGTCAAATCCATCTAAAAAACTAAGTAAACCTATGTCTATCTATCTAAAAGTGAAGTAAACAATATCATTTGAAAACAGTCAAAAACTAAAACTCTGTTAGTTACAGTGAAAATGTCATTTGCATTATTTTTAAGCATATCATCATTAAGTAATCCTGCTTAAAGGGGTAGATTGGCAAAAAAAAAATCAAATTGCCCAATTTTCCGCTTACCCCAATGTAGTTGATTAGCTGCAAGGCTAACATTGTTATCAAACACAAGAACTCATTAGTCACCCAAATAGCCTGTAAAAAAAACACTAAAATGTCTCTTAACCTGCTCAAACCACGTTCAGGTCTCCATTAAGGTCATGCTGACTTGCTGTTGTGGTTTAGAGTACAGTAGAAGTTATTGTGAACTAGAAAAAATAAACAAAACTTCACCATTATGGGCAGCAGTTTCAGACAACCACAAGAGCTGGTTTCAAAAGGAGGACTGATTTTGGACCGTATTCACTATGGTCATTGACACAAATACTGATTGTAGATCAGTCCTTCTACTTCTGAGTTTTTTTGTGAACACAGAACCTGTTGTCTAAAGTGGCTGTGTGCAGTTTTGTTCATTTTCATAGTTTACAATAACCCATCCTGAGGTCAGGGCTCTGTGCAGGCCACTAGAGTTCCTCCACAGCACATCTTTATGGACCTCGTTTTGTGGCTGAACTATTGTTGCTCCTAGATTCTTCCATTTCATAATCATCGCACTTACATTTGAACTGGGGTAGATCTAGCAGAGCAGAAATTTCATAAAATAACTTGTGGCAAAGGTGGTATCCTATGACAGCGACATGTTTAAAGTCACTGAGCTCTTCAGGACAACCCATTATACTGCCAATGTTTGTCTATGGAGACTGCATGGCTATATGCATGCTTTTATTTATCTGTTAACAATGTGTGTGGCTGAAACAATAATAATAACTCGTCCACATACTTTTGGCCATAATGTAATTTACAAGACAGCCAAATCTGTAAATTGTAATCTTTTTCGTACAATGTATGGCGATTACTATTATTAACACTATCCTAAGATGATTATCAATATAATATGTGGCTAACCAGTGTTCATCACTTTGCTACTGTCCATAAGCACAGCACAGTAGCTGGGTGTGTTGCTGAATAGGTTGTTGGGTTGATCTGTTTTGTGGTCCACAGGGTTCATGGAGCAGGGTATTCTTGTTCGTGATCAGTCTCGTCTGAAAAAACGCTACCTACGATCGTCTCGTTTCCTGTGGGACATGGCCTCCCTGCTGCCCACTGACCTGCTTTACCTGCAGCTGGGCATCCACACGCCCCTGGTCAGGGTAAACCGTTTCCTGCGGACAGCCCGCCTGTCAGAGGCTTTGGACCGTATGGAGACTCGAACGGCCTACCCTAACGTCTTCCGCATCTCCAAACTCATGATCCTCATTTTCATCCTCATCCACTGGAACGCATGCATCTATTTCTCGCTCTCCAACTACATCGGCTTTGGTGTTGACGAATGGGTCTACCCCAACATCTCGGATCCTGAGTTTGCTTCCATGAGACGTCAGTACTTCTATTCCTTCTGGTTCTCCACTCTGATCCTCACTACAGTGGGGGACACACCTCAGCCACAACGTGAGGAGGAGTACCTTTTCATGATCGCCGACCTGCTGATCGCAGTGTTGGTGTTTGCCTCTGTTGTGGGGAATGTGAGCAACGTGATCATGAACCTGCAGAACCGAGACAACGTGTTTTTCCCCAATCACGAGCTGGTGAAGGGCTACCTGCACAGCCGGAGAATCACCAAAGAGCTGCAGGGCCGTGTTAACAGCTGGTACCAACATCTACACATCAATAAGTGCGTCTTCTTGTTTATAGTTTTAACACTCATGTTTGAGGCCGGATTCTGCTGCATTGTGCTAGAACTTTTGGGGACATAATATGGTCTTTATCAAAGCCATTTCAGAGAAAAAGCTAATACAGAGCCAAAGAATTCTGGGAGATTAAGGAACAGTTAATTTCTCTAGACCTTTGCCACAAAATGTCATGATTTTTGACTGATCCCCTTTAAAGGAAAAGTTTTCAGAGATTTGGCACAAAAATGACCTCCCATAAGCTTCAATGATGCATCCAAGAACACAGCAAAGTTGATTTTAGAAACGCTGCTAATGTTGTAGTGCAATATTCTCCAGTAGTCACATTGATATTATTATTGTCTTACAGTAAGAAATGAATAATGATAAAGAAACAAACAAATGCAAATGCAACTGACCTGGGGCTGTTTTACTCAGGCAGAGAAATACAGGAAATCAAATCCAGTACAGCCAGAACAGTCCTACAAGCTATCAGGCTAATGATTCTATACCAAAATGTCAATATTTTAAAATTTTTGTTAACTTTTAATCACAGTGAGTCACACAATTACATATGCAAGCAATGTTGCTGCACTATTTTATACTTGTGGTAGCACTAGACCATTTCATTGTGTTCTTCCTGTGCATTTTCTTGCCCTGAAACCAACAGGGAGCCATTTTAGCACATTTTCTTATTTGAAAAGCATACATTTTACAAAAAACAAAAATCTGAAAGCTGGGAATTGACATTTTCTGAGGAAAAATGCTGAACTGTATCTGAATGGGTGGGGTTTATCTTTTATCACTTAACATATCATATGCAGTATCTCAACATATTCTATGAGTGTCATTTTGTGGAGCTGGAATGTTTTAGTAACCACTCATTTCTTCACTGGAACAGAAAGATCACAAGGGAGAATGAAATCCTCCAGCAGCTGCCTGTCACGCTGCAGACGGCCATCACTGTGAGCGTGCACCTGCCCACGCTTTCCAAAGTGACTATTTTCCAGAACTGTGAGAGCAGCCTGCTGGAGGAGCTGGTGCTCAAACTCAATCCACAGGTCAGAGAGCAAGGGTCAAGTGGTCAGAGATCAAAGGCTAATGTCATGTGTTACAACGCATCTGCTGTCCTCTCTCTAGGTCTACAGCCCAGGAGAGTATGTGTGTAGGAAAGGAGATGTGGGCCATGAGATGTATATCATTAAAGAGGGAAAGCTGGCTGTTGTGGCAGATGATGGGGTCACTCAGTTTGCTGTGCTGGGTGAAGGGAACTTTTTTGGCGAGATCAGCATCCTGAACATCAAAGGTAGAAACATCCACTACTCAACATATTAAAGTTTAAGTTACATTACACAAGTGTTACCCCAATGACAACTATAATTTACATTCATGCTGAGTCTGTGCAGGTATAGTCTGTAGATTGTGAGGCACTCAGAGTTGACACCTGGGGTGTTTCTACACTGTTGGATATACTGGGGTGCACAAAGAATTAAGTGGGGCATGGTTCAAGCTCTTTACCTGTTAGTTGTAGGACCTTGAAGCTGCATTTTTTCATTTATTTCATATGTTCTAACCAGGAAAAGTTGTCCAACCAACAGTAATTATAAGCTTTCTTTTGTGCCAAAGTACTGGTGTTGATACTGGGATGGAAGTAGCTTTGAAGAAGTGTCTTTATTCTTCCAAATCATTTTTGGAACATATTTTCTTATGTTGCACACTTCTTCTCCCAATTATCTTTGCACTCCTTCTCTATCCACTCTTTTTCCTTTTTCCGATTCGCCTTTCACTCCATCTCCATGTTCTGATTGCCCTTTCATTCCTTCTCAGTGTTGCAATTTTCCTTCAACTCCTTCTCCCTGTCCTGATTCCTTTTCCACTCCTGCTCCCTGTTTTGATTCTCTTTCTACTATTTCTCCTTGTTCCAAATCTTCTTTCACTCCTTCTCCCTGTTCTGATTGTCCATTCACTCTATCTTAATGTTGCAATGCTCCTTCCACTCCTTCTTCTTGTTCTGCTTCTCCTTCCACTCCTTGTCCCTGTTCCGGTTCTCCTTGCACTCCTTCGCCCTGTTCCGATTCTCCTTCAACGCCTTCTCCCTTTCCGAATCTCCTTCCACTCTTTCTTGCTCTGATTCTCCTTTCAGGCTTTTTCTCTGCTCCAGTTCACCTTTCAGTCCTTCTCCTTGTCTGGTTCTCTTTGACTGCCTCTCCCTGTTACGATTGTCCCTTTACTCCTTTCCCTATTCTGGTTGTTCTTTCACTCTCTCTCCCTGTTTTCATTCTCTTTCCACTCCGTCTCCTTGTTCTGATTCTCCTTCCACTCTTTCACTTTGTTGCAATTCTCTTTCTACTCCTTCTCCCTGCGTGGACTTTCTTTCCCTTCCTTGTCACTATTTTGAAACTCCTTTCACTGTTTCACCTTGTTCCAATCCTATTTTCACCATTTCTCCCTGTTCTGATTCTCCTTCCACCCCTTCTCCCTGTTCTGATTCTCCTTCCACCCCTTCTCCCTGTTCTGATTCTCCTTCCACTCCTCTCCCTGTTCTCATTCTCCTTCCACTCCTCTCCCTATCCTGATTCTCCTTCCACTCCTTCTCCCTGTTCTCATTCTTCTTCCACTCCTTTCCCTATTCTGATTCTCCTTCCACTCCTTCTCCCTGTACTGATTGCCCTTTCATTCCTTCTCAATGTTGCAATTCTCCTTCCACTCCTTCACCATGTTCGGACTCTCTTTCTACTCCTTCTCCGTTTTGTTTCTCCTTTTGCTCTTTCTCTTTCTTCCAGTTCTACTTTCACTCCTTCTCCCTGTTCTGATTGTCCTTTCACTTCTTCTACCCATTGCAATTCTCTTTCCACCCCTTCTCCCTGTTCCAGTTATCCTTCTACCCCTTGTCTGTGTTCCAATTTCCCTTTGACTCCTTCTTTTTGTCCTGATTCTCCTTTCCTTCTCATTCCTTCTCACTCTTCCAGTTCTCCTTTCAGTCTTTCTTTTTGTCTAATTCTCCTTCTGCTCCATTCTGATTGTCTTTCCAAAATTCTTCCTATTCTGATTCTCGTTTTACTCCTTCTCTTTCTTCTGATTCTCCGTTCAGTCTTTCTCCCTTTTTCAGTTCTCCTTCCACTCCTTCTCCCTGCACCGATTCTCCTTCTGCCCCTTCTCCGTTCTGATTGTCCTTTCACTCCTTCTCAATGTTGCGATTCTTCATCCACTCCTTCTCTATGTTCTGATTCTCTTTTCACTCCTTCCACTTCTTTTGTTTCACTTTTTAGTCTTTCTCCCAGTTCCAGTTCTCCTTACAGTCTTTCTCCTTGCCCACTTCTCCTTTCACTGCTTGTCCCTGTTCTGCATTTTGTTTAGTCCAAAAACATCAGCAAATTCACTGTGACAACTGCTGTGGTGAGTAAAATAGTAGCCAGCCAACGCTGGAGTAGCCAGCCAACATGGAACCCCCTGAATACCAGGGGGGTATTTCACATACCGATTGCTAGTATTCTAGTTTCTGTACATATAAAGCACCCTACCTTACCTTCAGACTAGTGGTCTCTAAATCCCTCATGTCTGAGTATCACTGCTTTTTACATTCTATAAGCTTGTAACTGCTAATATATGTGTTGTTACTTGTGTTGTTCTGCATTGTAGTTAGTGACAACAGTATGGCATCAAGGGTCACAAATTTCCTGAAAGTTTAAAAGAAAAATAAGAAACTATATAAAGTTGTACAAATATCATTGGCTAAGGGAGCTGCTGGTTAGCCCCCTGGCCCAACTTTGGCCAGCTTTGTTTTAAAGCAGTGGTCATCACCCTAGTCCTGGATATCTACCTTCCTGTGGAATCTAGTTCCAATTGCAATCTGCCACATTCAGCTAATTAACTTCTTCAGAGGTCCTTGATTGGCTGGATTAGATGCATTGGCATTAGGTAAGGAGGAGGCAGCATGTTAGATGCAGGTTGGAACTAAACTCTGCAGGAAAATAGATCTTCAGGAGGACAGTTGGTGACCACTGTTTTAAAGTATTAGTGTAGGTGTTGAAAGCCTTCATGTTACTCATTTTGAAAAGAGAAACTGGTACTGATCATTCCTATTGCATACATCCCACTTGACCACACCCTCCTCTGATGTTTTCCAGGCAACAAATCGGGAAACCGGCGCACAGCCAACATCCGCAGCATCGGTCACTCTGACCTGTTCAGCCTGTCCAAAGAGGACCTGACAGACACACTGTCTGAGTTTCCGGCTGCCAAGCGCCTGCTGGAGGAGAAGGGCCGTCAGATCCTGACCAAGATGGGCATGCTGGAAAAGACGGACGAAGGCGAGGAGGAGAAAGAGAAGACAGAGGACAAGGTGACGCGTTTGGAGGGCAGCCTGGAGGAGCTGCAGACCAAACTAGCCCGACTGATGGCTGAGCTGGAGTCCAGCGCCCGAAAGATGACGAGGCGTGTGGAGCACCTGGAGCTGCAGACGGAGGGCTGGGAGGGCATAGTGGCTGAAGGAGCCTGGAGCGAAACGGAGGAGGGAGAGAGAGAGAGGGAGGTCGGGGATGGAGAGGGGGAAAAGGAGGAGGAGCCAGAGGGAGAGCGGGGAGAGGGGGATGGGGGAGAAGAAGAGGAGGGAGTGGGGAAGGATGTAAAAGAGAAAAAGTGATGGAGAAAGAAGGCATGTAAAGAATGGGAAAAACTTATTATATTAAATCATGAGCTACAATACTAAACTTAATCACATGCCGGCACTTGCATGTAGGGATTACTTTTATTTTTTTTTTTGCAGGTTTAACTACTTTTTTTGTCTTTTACTATGATTGTCTTTTCACTGATTTAAATATATGTGGTTATCTTATGACATATATTATCATATACATATAGATATCACTGCTCCATATACATATCTCCATTTTTGACGTTTTTTCAGTTTTTTGACATAATTTGAACATAACTGTTACCCTTTACGTTGTATGTAAATTTCATGATGAATGGACTAAAAGAAATGACCAAAAATGACTTGGAAAAAAAGTCTGGTTCCATTGACTTACATTAAAAGTAAAGTAGGTTTTTTTCCTTCTCCTGTAAAGTTACCATTTTGGAGATATGAGGTTTTTTCCGACAACAGCGATATATTTCATACATATAGTATCTTTTCTGTGTTTTAAGTCTGCCTTAAAACTGTCCTGCAGTGATCATTAAAGTTGAATTGAATTGAAGAGAACTATAGTGATATATATATATTGAATCAAGAGTTTGGAATCACTAATCATATTAAAAATTGTGATCTTACTCAATAACTTACACAATATATAACACAGAGACATTTTGGCACTTCTAAATGTCTCACAGCTTTCTCAGTCATTTTAGAAAGCTACTATAAACTATATATACTAAACTTTTTAGAGCTTCAAGCTAATCATTGAATCTTATGTCAGCTGATCATAGAGAAAGAAAACAGTCTGGCACCTACAGTGATTGAGCAGAGGTCTTTAAATCCAAGCCTTGAATCCAGTTTCCATTTCTGTGTTTTGTAATTACTGGCAGTTAACTGAACTGTTGAAGTAAATGATTAGCCAGCGAGTGTCATACCTACCAGTGACTGTGCAATCCAGGACAGGAAACTGGATTCAAAGTCTGGATTTGAGGACCTCTGGCTTAGAACCCTGTGAAGCCCACTAACAGTGCAACAACCTCCTTTGGACACTAGGTGGCAGCAAATATTTTCTTCTGTTCTATGTATATTGAAGATGGCCAACACAAACAAATCATCATCAACAAACACCAGCTGGAGCTTAAAGGGAGGGGTTTCTGGTAAAGAAACTGGCCTTAGTGGCCAGTATCTGTATACAGTGATCTCTTGGATAGTAGGACTTGAGAGTGGCTGAACAGATGGATGGATCTTTAATGTATATGTACATAAACATTCAATGAATAAACATCAAAGATCATTTTAAATTGTAGTGTACAATTTCAATCCCTATGTATCAATGATCATTCCACCTGTATCAGTGTTTATTCAGTATATATCAATGTTCATTCAATATATTTCAAAGTTCACTGTATATATATCGATGTTCATTCAATATATATCAAAGTTTGTTATATATACAGTTCTTTTGGTGAATTAGCTTAAATCCTACATTTAATCGAAGTAAATGTATTCTAAGATAAAAAATCCTTCATCAAGAAATTATTTTTATAACCAAATCACATTTGCCACTATTATTAGCACCCCTGCATTTAATACTTTGAACAATCTTTCTTTGCCAATATAACAGCTATTAGTCTTCTCCTATAACATCTTATAAGGTTGAAGAACACAGAGCAGGGAATTTGAAGCCATTCCTCTTTACAGAATCTATCCTGATCGTCCAGAGTTGTAGGTCCTTTCTTGTGCACTGTCCTCCTTAACTCACCTCACAGGTTTTGTACGGGGTTTAGATGAGTGGACTGGGGCAGCCATGGCAGAAGCTTGATTTTGTGTTCAGTAAACCTTTTTTTGTTGATCTGGACATATGTGTTGGAGTGCTTGTTGCCAAAAAGCTCAGTTTTTGTTTCATCTGACCATAGAACACAGTTCCAGTTGATGTCGCAGTAGCATTTAGCAAACTCCAGGTGCTTATGTTTGTGATTAAATGAGAGGAAAGACTTTTTTCTGGCATGCCTTCCAAATAATCTGTTGGCATTGGGGTGGCACCTGATGGTAGTTTTAGAGACTTGGTGACCCCAAGATGCTACTTTTTTCTGTAACACTCCAACAGTGATCGTTGGGGATTTTTGTTTTTGCTTCTCTTACTGTCCTCCTCACTGTGCATGGGGGGAAAATAAACTTGGGTCCTCATCCAGGAAAGTTTGTCACAGTTCCAGTAGAACGGAACTTTAATTATTTAATTATTAGCCTAGCTGTAGATATAGGCATTTTCAGGCAAGTAACTATTTTTATAGCCATTCTGTGACTAATGAGGGTCAACCAACTTTTTCTTTAATTGAATTGTGTGTTTGTCTTTCCCATGTTAAAGAATGACTAAGGGAATTTGACCTCTGTGTAACCTCATGTATATAACCCAGTGAAACAGGAAGTCATGGATTATATATATGTTAATTCAATGTATATACCAAAGTTGATTATATATGCAATAAAGTACATTTTACATATCAATGTTAGTTAAATATTTCTTGTTTGGCCATACGCCATATCTATCTATCTATTTATCTATCTATCTATTTATTTAGCTATCTATGGATTGTATGTTGAGATTATATAAAGAATATATATGGATTCCAAACTTTTGAATGGTTGCAGGCTATATATCTAATTTATTCACTTATTATGTGCACTTTTGCATGGTGTTGATATCCCACCATGAACTAACAGTAATCTTTTACTCGCCTTTGTTTATACCTGAGTTGTGTCATATTTAGTAGTTTAACAGATCTCAGAGAAAGTATTAGTGGATAGTGGTAGTGCAGCATCAATGCTTGTGAGGACCTGTTGCAAAACAACAACCTGCACTGGACACTAGGTGGCAGTAAATATTCCCTTTCAATGAGAGAACACTCAGTGAAATTCAAGTCACCCCGAGCAATCATCTATAGAAACATTCCCTGATAAGACGAGAGAGACTGGAATAATATTTGGAATCCTGCCAAAAATGAGTAACAGGAATGGCTTAAGTTATCAAGAGTATCTTAAAAAGCAAAGAAACCACTGAAGCTTTTATAAATTAACAATGACCAAACTGACTGAGTTAAGCTTCTGTGGTTGGTACAAAAACAGTGATCAGAGATCAAAGATACGTGCTGCTTCTGGACTGCAGGTACTGTCTGCTGTTCAAGACTTCATCAGTATATTATTATAAGAGCTACAAAACATTATGAAAGAGTGAAAGGTACAGAAATAGAGTTCTGTATCAGTTCTTACTGTCAGAATATACCGAGAACCTCCTGCAAAATTACGAGCAATTTAATTTAATTTAAAATACTCAGTAATTATTAGTTTTTCATCCTGGCTCTCATTGTGCAAGCTTGGTAACAGCTTAAAGCTTTCATACCTTTTGAAAGGCTTGTGCTCAATTTCTCAAAGAAATCTGCAGGGATATTTTTCCACACCTCCAAAGTCCAGTCATTTTCTGATGTTTACACAGTAGTGTTTTCATGCATACAGTATCATGATGCCTACTTTGTCCTTTTAACATGTTTCTGTACATAAAGTGTCTGCAAGTATTTACTGTACGTCAAACAAGAGACATTACATAGAGCTTGAGCTCTGTCAACCAATTCATCAATCAGTCAATGTGAATCTGTATTTATTGCCACATCGCTGTCATTATTAGGATGTTCCTCAGGGTTTCCAGAGAAAACAGTGAAAGCACAGATATCGAACACCACATTGTCAGTTATTCCTCACAGTTTTACTGCTGCATATAAGCTAAAGCTAATTTAGATGGACTGTTTAGCAAAGCTGTTATATTCCAAGGACACATTTTCTCTTTACACTTGTTGCATTAATTAAAGCTCATTTTCAAAACCAGACAATTCAGATTTATTTTCATAGGCTGTCAATGTAAATCTGTTATAATAGATTAAAACATGACTTTTTTTCCTGGCTCTTACCAGATGTTCTCATCTGCTGCAGAGAGATGGGGAATTTGTTATATGCACTAAATTTGAATTCTTGTGAAAAAAAAGTGAAAAAACAAAGAGGCAGTTATTGACAACTCTATTTCCACCAAACCTCAGAGGTGTATTTTTCTGCATTAAGCAGCAGGCCTGAGCGAGGCTGTCCCAAGGCAACTGCTCAGCTTCAATCCTCAGAGGGATAGGCCCATCATCTGCACTCATTTGATTAATTTTTTGCCTGTCAATCAAAATCTGTCATGGATTACGTCAATTTAAGGGGCAAAATTCTGCAGCAGCGTGCAGAGATATAGCATGCATGAGGAGGAGGAGGAGGAGGAGGAGCAGATGGCTCCTAATTGCTGTCAGGTTAACACAGAGTCCATTTTACGCCTCCCTACGGCCTCGGGTGTGTCGCTCTTGTGCAAGTGCAGGTGTGATTGTTTTCATTTATCTTTTGCTTTAATCACAGTATTACTCAAGGAGCCTTAGACCCAATATGTGAGGACAGTTTTGGACAGAAGCGCTACAACAGTGCCTACAGCAAAATCCTCAGCGTTGAATAAACACAGGTGTGGGAATTATCTACTACAAGATGGAATGGATGACAGATCATCTGCTCTGAATTGTATGCTTATAAGAAAATTTTAGTGCATATTGCACTTTTAGAGTGCCACATTAACATTTGCAGTGTCATATTAACACCTACAGTGTCATATTTACACTTACAGTGTCCTATTAACACTTCCAGTGTTGTATTAAGACCTTCAGTATTTTATTAACACCTACAGTGTTGTATTAAGACAGTCTCTAACTTTACATCTACATAGTGGACCAACAAGGTAGGTGTATCTAATAGACAGCGAGTGAACTACAAAGTGTACCTATATAGTAAGAGCAGATAAAATGGACAAAGAGTGTAGATACAAGGAGGTGTACTTCATTAAGGGTACTTCATTAAGTCAGTGTATATATCGATAAATGCATCTATTCGAGCAGTTTAAGACTACGAACATTGTGAAACGTTATATCTTGAAGAGGTGAGGTAATCCTGCTTGGTCTAAGAAGAGCATCCAGGACAGTCCTTTACTCCCAAAAATGCATCAGTAAAAAATCCAAATAAAGTTCCTCAGCAAGCAATTGCAATTGCAGAAGAAAAGGACCATCCAGAACGTTACCAGTGTAAAGTTCAAAATCCAGGGTCTGTCATGGCATGGGGGAGGGGCGTCTTAGTGGGTAACTTGCAAATCTGTGAAGGAACCATTAACAATGAAC